TCAATTGTTATTATTTCTTCACACTTGTTAGTGCTTATTCTTAATAAGTTATTATTTACTCATAAGTATGATTCTCCTACAAATAAGAAATAATTTAATAAATTTTATAATGCAATGAATTAAAATAAATTAATAAATTAAATTACAGGCAATGATCTGGATTCTATACGAGCCTTATTTAGCGAAAAAGAGAAAGAACTTAGTCTTGCTGTTGCAAAAGTGGAGGCTCTGACTCGACAACTGGAAGATCTCAGAAGAGATCGAAGATGTCCCATAAATTTACTAAGTAGTAGCAATGGCACTGCACAGGCTCTACCACCGCAAGCGTCACGTGAGCTGGAAAAACTGCGACGTGAGTTAATGGTAAGTGTTGGACTATTAAAATAAATTTATTAACTACAGTAATTCATGCTCGCTTATTTATTTAGTACCGTAACCAATTGACACTACAGCAAGATGCACGTTTACATTTGCAAAGGGAGGCGCTACAACAACGCCAAGCTGAGCTACGCTCAGTGGATCAGCGTATCTATGAATTGCAAACACGATTACAACGTAAAAAAGCCGCCAACATACAAATTGTGACACAAAACCAAAATCAACTTCACGTGCAGCCGCATCTATTACAACAACAGCAGCAGCAACAGCAGACGCAATTGCAACAACAGCAACAGACAAATACACAAAATCTGCATCAACAACTGCAACAGCAACAGCAGCAGACAACATCCTATAACGCAGATCCAATTAGTTTTCAGAATAACGTTGAAAAACAAGGTGTGGCTGCACTGAAACAGCAGTTACTACAAAAGCAAACGGGGAATCACATTACCGACGCAACAACCCACGGACATACGCAGTTGCATACAAATAAATTTTCAAATATAATTAATCGTGAACAGAACCGTAATATTCCACGTGGCAACGTAGCCGCTGTAGAACCTTATATACACACGCCACAGAAATCGACAATATCATCCACTTCCAGCTATTTGAGTGGAGGAAACATACTTAAGCATTCAGCAGCCACAGCTAACACAAACCTACAAAATCAACTCATACAAGACTTAACGCACGTGAAGCTCAATCTAACGCACAGCAACTCACACAACAATGCTCCAAACTCTAACTTCTTTAGTGGGGAGAGCGATGAAACCAAGTTGGCCAAAAAAATGCTAACAGCAACAATAACTCCAAAATCAGCTGACTCCCCGAAACAGCTCGAAATAGATACTTCACATCATATATATGCGGAAATCGGACCGAAAAAGCGTGATCTTGTTAAGGACACAACAACTGCAACAACAACTGGAACAACAACAACAGCAGCAGCAACAAATCTAGAAACACAAACGACTACTACAACCGTTACTCAAACAAGCAAAATACCTAAAAGTATTGTTTCAACAACATCGGCTTCGGCTATGATAAGCAAACTGAATGCTGCAGCCAACAATCAGTTAGCATCAACTGCAACAACAACTCAGTTGAAGAAGAAGCGTGAAAATGAGAAGAAATCAGATGTCGCTGTTACCAGCGAGACGCTCTCCGAAAAAAATACCCAACAGTTAACAGTGCACAGCATGCCATTGGATGCAGCTAAAAGTGGCATAGCCACTGCACCTGCAATAGTTACAAGTGCCGAAAGTTTGCTGACAAAACCCAAACCAATTTCTGTGCTCTCAACTGGCAACTTAGCGGTACCACCGCGCAAACCTATAAGCAGTGTTGCGCCATCTTCAGTTAGTAGTTCCATACCGAAAATTATTGCATTCAGTCCTAAGGTGAATCGCGTAGCACCAAATGTTATAGCGCCAACTTCTGCAGTCTGCAATGCAAATGACCGTCCTGCTTTGCCACCAAAACCAAGTAAAATGTCTCCAACGGAGTCCACAACTGAAGCTACAGTAACCACGATTGCAAGTAACTCCACCGCAATAGCTAAACCAGCAGCAACAATGGAACCACATGGTACATTGAATATGCAAGCACTGAATATAAATGATAATTTACCTATAAAAGCTAAGCCACTGACAATACGCAAACAGCCCATGTCTGAGCAACCTCGGTTAAAATTGTCGAATGTAGGTCCAAAGCCCTTACCGCAACCGGCACGTAAAATTGATATACCAACCACTACAGCGTTATTATATAGTGAGAACAATAAGAGTATAGTTTCAAAAGAATGCAATGATACACATATCAATACCGCTGAACAAGTTCAACGGTATTCACCGGATGCACAAAATTCTCCTAATACTACCACAACGCAATCAAATTCTAGTGTTGATGAAACTGACAAAACTAACAATAGCCCCACATCTTCAGATAAATCGTTGGACAGTTTGAAAAGACGAATGCGTGCAAGCTCCACACCTGCCGCAGGTGGCAAACCTAAATTGACACGTCGTGTTAGTTTCGATCCTTTAGCTCTACTTTTGGATGCAAGTCTGGAAGGTGAACTAGAATTAGTTAAAAAGACAGCAATGCAGGTAACGAATCCCAGCGCTGCTAATGATGAGGGTATCACAGCACTTCACAACGCCATATGTGCCGGACACTTTGACATTGTCAAGTAAGTTTTTTATACCGGGAAAAGTTTTAGTTAACTTAACAATTTTTTCTTTGATATAGATTTTTGGTAGAATTTGGTTGCGATGTCAATGCTCAAGATTCAGATGGTTGGACACCCCTGCATTGTGCTGCTAGTTGCAACAATTTGTCTATGGTAAAGTTTTTAGTTGAAAGCGGCGCTTGTCTTTTTGCTGCAACTCTGTCAGATCATGAAACACCAGCCGAAAAATGCGAAGAGGATGAAGAAGGTTTCGATGGGTGCTCAGAATATTTATACAGTAAGTCACTTAGAATATTATATATATTTCATATTAATGGGAATCACGAATCACATCTTAGTTGTGATCCTAGAATATTTCAAAAAAGGAATCACAATATATAAGTTCACAATTATAGCATAATCTGTGCTTTATAGTTGTGCTGTTCGTATTCGATTTAACGAAGTATTCGGACAATTCGATTAATCGGATAATAACCGGAGTTAAAAAAAAAATGTCAAATTTTTTGTAAATCCGGAATCTTCGAATATCCAGATTTGCGATTATTTTTCGCAGTGAAATTATTCGGAGACTTCGTGAACGAAAGTTAAAGGGAGAGACCCAATTTCAAAAGAATGTTCAACACACAAATAAATACAAATTTCTTTAGGTATGATAAAATTTGTTGTTGTCTTTACGATTTTGTGTGTTTTGTGGTATTTTACGCAGAAAACTTTTAAAATTTTTATAATATCCGAATAAAATGAACGGCACTACTGCAAGTAGACCTCTGTGCTACCACAATGGACCATCATTTCAGCTCAAGTGGGCTTTTTGGACACAACGCCGTCACTCCAACCTACTTACCTCTCTACCATATATGATAATATTTATTTATTACATATAAATTTATTAATTATAAAAATCTTCTCTTTGAAGGCATTCAAGAAAAACTTGGTATACTTCATAATGGTGAAGTGCATGCAGTTTTCTCGTACGAAGCTCAGAACAGTGACGAGCTCACTTTCAATGTAAATGATCGTTTGATAGTTTTGCGTAAAGGTGATGATGCAGAGAATGAATGGTGGTGGGCCAAGAATTCAGAAGAAAAGGAAGGTTATGTGCCAAGAAATTTATTGGGTGTAAGTATTTTTAAATATTAATATTAACACAAAAAATATAATATATATTAAATCAATTACTTTTTTAGCTTTATCCAAGAATACCACCGCAAAACTCGAACTTCATTGATTAGCAGTTAATACGATTTTGTGCGTACAAAAAGAAAGCGGGGCGTTTAATACAAAAGCATTACATTTCCAAATATTTGTAATATTTGGCATATTGTATATGTATTTTATTTTATGTTTAAGCACGTCCAGAAACTATACTCATTAGCATACATAAATTATCATATTTTATTTTAACGTTTATATAAGTTTAATGAGAATATAGCTTGCGTCCATACTTTTTGCTCACATGAGCCTAACTTCGAATAGACCAAGAAATGTGCAACATTTGTAGGCTAGAATTTTCAAATTACACATAAACCCTGAATCTTGAATCCAAAATCATTCACCTTAATATACACAATCATTAATATATAAATATATATATTTAAAAATAACTTTATTGTTAAAGTTTTACTTAAGTTAGTTAACGTAGCTATTAATTATATAATAAAAAACTATTTTATTTTTAAATTTAAATATATTTATATACCTATATAGATATATAATATAACATATAACATAAATAAAGAAGCAAAAATTTTATATTAATATGCATAGCGTAAATATCAAATAATAAATTTATTTTTAAGCTTAGTTTTGAAATCAACTACACTGTTTGCCTAATATTAACTTAATTGTGATTTTTGTAAATTGTAAAAATAATAATTTTCTCTAAATAAATAAATTTATAATTAAATTAGTGCCTAATACTATTTTTGTTTTTTTACTCGAAATATAAAATATTCTAATACCTATAAACGTAAAAACTCTTGATGGACATGTTTAGTGTTAGCGGATAATGTCTAGATAAAAGAGATTTTATATAACGCAGATCTGAAACAACGATTAATAGTGAAATTTTAGATACGATGGAAAAAGGTAATACTCATGGGTGAGATTCAATATAACTTTTGTCCCAAGAACGTTACTTCATTCTTCTGACATTCACAATCTACAGTTTTCATATAAAGAGAAATACCACGCTGATTAATAATAAAAAAATAGATCAATGATTTTTAATATGTACGATTACATATGTTAAATTGAGTTCATAGACATTATATATGGTACTTCAAATATCATAATAGAATTAATGACATAGATTATCTAAATTAGTGATTTTAGATGTGTTAAATGACGGATCCTCTGGAATGACTGTTCAATTAAAGCATGCTTCAGGGAGAGGAGTTGTGATAGTTCTTATTTTTATTAAAAGAAGAAGTACATCATTGTGATTATTATGTTTAATCGATTAAAAACTCAAAAACTAATGAAATTTTGCATACATAATACTTGCATGGCTTTTCATCAGAAATTTATTTCAAAGACTTAGGCTTAGTACATAGAAATGGGCTTAGTAGAATATCACTGAGATTATATAGCATCATAGTTGATCTTAATTTTAAATTAAGTATTGCTTTACATAAAGTAAGAAGACTCTGCAAACTTGTAAAATGGGAACGTCACTGCTATTTTAGAGTAGCACAATGGATCTCATTTCGAAAATAACTAAGTATTGTTATACGTAAAGTAAGAAGATTCTTCAAGCTTGTAATATGGATTTTCAGGTACTACAAATGTCACTGAGATTCTATAATAGCACAATGGAGCTTGTTTTAAAAGTCAAATAGTTTCTTATTCGAATTATACTAGTCCATAATAAAGAACTATGTTGCTTGATAAACTGGGGAACATAAGTGATATAACTGATTTTTTTAGTACTGTTCATGTCGACGTCAGTGCAACTATTTCAATGAACTTTCAAATAATGAATACTATTACTATAGTAGTTTTTTGGAAAGTCTAAAATGCACGTATATATATATGTTATTTATTTTACAAGTTTTTCCATCCAAAAGATCCAAAATATGGCAATTAAATTTGGAGTTTTTTGCATTACTAGTTTAAAAATAATCTAATACAAATTTCCTTAAAGTCACAAAAACTGACATTAAAACCGTCTTGATCGATTTCTGGATATAAATTCACTACGGAGCCGAGGAGGTACTGATATATAAAGAATTAACAAAATGAAATTTTTAAAATATTATTATTTATTAAAAAATTGAATTCCTAAAGAATAATATAAAAAAATATAAAATACAAAATAAAATAAAAATAAAAATAATTATAAATGATCAATTCAATTATTCTTTAGCAGGCTTATGATATCGTTTTAATATACATAATACAGCAAGTGAAGTTATTAATGAACTTTTACACCAAATTAACAAAACTCCAAGTTTGAACACATAAGTCAAGTACTGATTTGGGTCAAATGGATTATTATACTGGCACTGAGCTTGTGGCAGGGCACAAGTTCAACCCTCAAAAAAAATAATTTACAAATAATTAAACATAAGAAATAATTTCAAGACCACCGATGAAGAATATTTGGTAATATTTGAAACGGCTGTATGATCAACCAAAAACTCAATTAAATAATAAATAATAAAATTTTGTTGTTGATATTCACTATTGTTTAAAATACCACATTACCTAAAACAATTGAAAACATTTTCGTAAAAATTTTGGAGCACTTTTCAAAACAAATTGTATTGGGACTATCAAAGTCTATTTAAGTACAAACACATATTAGGCTTTAAATAAAAAAATATGTACCAGAGTGAAAACTTAATGAATACTTAAATAAATCATCTAAATAAATCATCTTGTCTTAAGCCAAACAAACCGGAAATTTTTTTACAAATCGAGCTTTCTTTGCCCCCTTTTATTTGAATTAATAGAATAAAATGGTTTATTACACCCAGGGTTTGAATTGCTTGCTGAAAATTAGCAAAAGCAACCATATTTTGACTAATGCATAAATATTGACCAGTCAATTTTAGTCAAACGACTAATTGCTAATGCATTGCATATGAAAATGAAATAAGAATATGCATTAGCAACAGCAAAAAACGTAAACTGGTTTCATTTTGATTGCTTGCTAATAGTCAATTTTACATTTTTGACTATTATGCGTTTGGAATATATGCAACTTGCTTGCTTATGCGTTAGCTGCTTGTGTTTTGCTATTAGCAAATGCATATGGATTTCTTCTTTTTGTTTTTGTTTTAAGGGAATGTGTACGCATTATTTCTTTGTTGGTGCATTGAATATAGTTGTTCAAAATTGTAAGTAATGTGTGTGCGTACAATTTGTATGCAATTAATATAATTTTATCTGTAAATAGATTATGCCTAAATTTATGTTTTTTTTAATTATTAAATTTATGATATATATGATATATATATATATATATTTATTAATTATTAATTCATATATATATAAATATATAATTAATTACTAATTATTAATTCATATATATATATATGTTTATATTTGTGAATACAAATGATATTTGTGGGATAATTTTAAGTAATATGTAGAACATATTATATACAAGTTTTTGGTACAGTCGCCGACATTGATGACGCAATAATCAAATTAATGTCATTTACATTCAAGATTACCATCGAGCGTGCTTTTTCATCACTAAAATTGATCTTATCTTGTCAACGGAATCGTCTTAGTCATGAAACTTTGGAAAACATTCTCATGGTTAAACTAAATCCGCAATTTTTGACCATGCTATTGATGATATGCCGTTGTTTCAATCCCTGAATGGGACTTAAATTTAGAAGAATAACAACATCAAATTAAAATTTTTAATCATAATTGATAATACAGTTTTTATATTTTTTACCGGGCTTAGGTCGTTTATTTAACACATTAATTTATAAAAATGTTTTTCAAATAAAATAAAAAATTTCACTTTTTAAACTGTTTTAAATATTTAGTTATATTTTAATTTTAATACAAAATTATTTATATCACAAATATTTCGAACTACTTCGTAGACCATCTTCAATGTATAATAACAATAACAAAGAAATAAATAGTGGTGTCGGCAATGTCGGCGACTGTACCAAAAAGTTGTATATAATATGTTCTACATATTACTTAAAATTATCCCACAAATATCATTTGTATTCACAAATATAAACATATATATATATATGAATTAATAATTAGTAATTAATTATATATTTATATATATATGAATTAATAATTAATAAATATATATATATATATATCATATATATCATAAATTTAATAATTAAAAAAAACATAAATTTAGGCATAATCTATTTACAGATAAAATTATATTAATTGCATACAAATTGTACGCACACACATTACTTACAATTTTGCACAACTATATTCAATGCACCAACAAAGAAATAATGCGTACACATTCCCTTAAAACAAAAACAAAAAGAAGAAATCCATATGCATTTGCTAATAGCAAAACACAAGCAGCTAACGCATAAGCAAGCAAGTTGCATATATTCCAAACGCATAATAGTCAAAAATGTAAAATTGACTATTAGCAAGCAATCAAAATGAAACCAGTTTACGTTTTTTGCTGTTGCTAATGCATATTCTTATTTCATTTTCATATGCAATGCATTAGCAATTATGCAAGCAATGCAATTAGCAACAGCAATTCAAACCCTGATTACACCTCATATATAATATCTTTATCATTTCATCAAGTCTTCACTTAGGTTAAATATATCTGAAACACAACGTGTATATACTTATATAGTTACGATATAAATGTCTTAATTTACATATAATACATATATATGTGTTACATATTTATACATATATTTCATAAATATATGTATTTATTTACAAAATCTGAGTGGGGTATGAATCCCCAAATCATGTTGTGCCGAAAATTTCCATTAAAACTTTATAAAAAATAAAATTCAGCAAACTAATTAATGATTATGTCAAATCATTATCTCAAAATTTCAAAACACGGAATTTTTTCAAACATTTTTTTATTGGTATTTAAGTATTATTACTAAATTGCTAATTTAAAATAATAACAGCATGCGTATACAACCTGTCTTCTAAAAAGATTTGAATATTCTAATATAAATCTTTTTTGAAAAAGAGGCGATGTTTGCGTGACTAAGCAGAAGTAAAACAAACATGCAAGCTGAACTCACTCAATTGCTTTAAATTATTTGTTATAAAATGACGTCTGCTACATAATATTATGATCGTGTAATACCCTACACAATATTAAGAATAGAGTGTATTCAGTTTATCAAAACGTTTGTAACGTAAAGAACAACAATCAACATATAAAGTTTATTTATGTTTATATATTCCATATGTTAATATGTTCATATATTCACATCTCTACTTATCTGATCTTACTTATTTCAACTTCTTAATATATATCACGAATTGATTCACTCTATAATTAATAAAAACAGTTCCATCTTAATATGGTTTAAAAATTCAATTAGATTAAACAGCATTTCAGTTAGGCTAAGAAGTATACTAAGAGCTCTATGGTACTACAGAAATGAAGACATACACAAGGTTTTGAAAGCTAATAGTGTGCAAAGTATATAAAAGATAAAGCGTACAAGAGAAATCAAACGAATGATAATATGTTCATATATTCAAGTCTCTACTTATCTGATCTTACTTCTTTCAACCTCTTAATATATATCAAGAATTTACTCACTCTATATTTAATAAAAACCTTTTTATTTTAATATATTTCAAAAATTTAATTATTTCAAAAAACATTTCCTTTAGGCTGAGAAGTATACTAAAAGCTCCATGGTACATCAGAAATGAAGACATGCATTATCAGAAGATTTGATATGTTAATAGTGTGTGTAGTATATAAAAGATAAAGCGCTGAAATGTTGTAGACTTTTACAATGACTTCTAGCGTTGTTGCACTTTTTAGACGCCTACTACGTGGTTCATCTCCAACGCTTGTACACCACGTTTAAATTGTAAAATCAATCGATGCACAGCTGGAGATTAAGGAGCAGAAATTCAGCTTTTTTGTATGAATTTCTATTGGTGATAAACTTTCTAAAGTAAAAAATTTTATGCCTTCTCGATATTCGGCTTTTTCTATAGTCCCAAAATCACCGACACTTCAGCTTCAAAATGACTTGTAAAAAAAGACTAAATTAACATATGGAATGTTGAAACGGCTTAAAAATTTTGATTCTTCTTCGTTTGGGTACTTCTTAACCAACCTGTAAGCGCACAGATATCTTTACTTTGAGTTGTCTTGTCATATTGATCAAATTAATAATATATGGTCATTGTCTTCTTAACTAGAGATCACCTAGAAATCATTACACAGTCAACTGAAGAGGCGAAGACATGGATATAGCTTAATCGGGTTGTGTTGTGTTACTGATACATTTAATGGTAGAATGGTACCAAGTTGTATTGTTATAGGTGTTATAATGATATGTTAATATACTGATGTAACAAATATAATGTTGAACTTAATAAAACATTTTTTTAACATAATGTAAAACGTGCAAATATTAAACATATACATTGTAAGTATTTTATTCAAACAAACAGGCCTTCGCAATGAGTATTTAATACATAGAAATGGTAGAGCAGTAGTTTTATTTAATTTTAATTTTTGAAATTCATTATTAGTTGTTAATAAAAACATTCATTTAAACTTAGAGAAAACTGTCAAACTGCTTTTCAATTTGAAGTAATAATGAGTATACATATGAAATCATTTTTAAAATTCAAGAGAACTAAACAGTATTTAAATTTGATTGCGCTAAGGTAGAAAGCTTTCGTGATCAGAAAAAAAATAGTTTAAATTTATTTTCATTTCGGTCGGTTGTAATCGAAACATAATTTTCAGTTGTTGGTGCTCGAGAGCCGTATCTTACAATCATTCTACGCGCGAACTTTTGTCGGTTGACAACGGTTTTCAGTCTGCTAACGCGCTAGTCCATCGACAGTAAAATTATTGGATTTGGTTTATAAAGGGACTTCCAACTAAACTGTGTTGTAGTGCAAAGAAAACTTTTCGAATAAAAAATATGGTAAGTAAACCATGTTTTCGTTTTTTTTTTGTGCAAAGTCATAATTGTAAATCAATAAATCACAAGTGATTGACAGATTTTATTTGAGTTATGAATGTGATGATCATTACACGTGTAAAGTATTTTAGTTACATAAAAAAATAGAAAGACACAAGTGATTTAAAAAAAAATATTTGCAGTTCATAGATTTGATATTTTCAAATCTGTAATAATATTTTCATTATATGAAGACAGCAGTGAAATTTTATCAGTTTTTAATATATAATAAATAATCGATCAAAAATGTCAACACTAGAGAAAACATCCACATATGTAGTTTAAAAAAAATTCCTGTCCAATTAAATATAAGTACTCACTTATATTTACTAGTTTTGAAATTAATTTTAAAAAGTATCTCCAATAATAATTGACTAATAATAATTCAACAGCGATCCAGAAAAAATGATTAGATGATTAGAATCTATATAAAATAGATATTTAATGTCCGTTTTGACGAAAGAATTTAAATTCTTAATATAAACTATTGTTTTCATTATAGATATATTTCGAACAGTAGCAAATCACAACAATAAACTTTTATTGTTTTATTAATTAATTTCGCCATCATTAAAACACTTGTGTGAACCCATGCATTGGCTTAATGAAAAATAATTTTTTTCTTCCGTAATCAGGATCTTTTTCCAGTTATTTATTTATCTAACTTTCCATTCAAAATTATTTTTTTTTTGCCTTTTTCAAGATAATTCATCAATAAAACCCCTTTTGCATCCCAAAAAACCGATCTTTCTAACTTCACCTGTTTTGAAGCTACAGTTCACTGTAAACGTTCCGTTCTTGTTACAGTTTAGGAACATAATGTTAGATCCATGCCTCATGGATAAATAAAATCGGTTTTATTCTGCTCAAAACGCTACAGATTAATGCCTTTTTTAAATGTTGACTACAAGTTTGATCGAAATGTTTGGCTATCCTTACAGCAATTTCAAGTATTGTCAAATATGCATCACAGTGCTTATGGAATTATTTCTTATATTTAATTATTCGTAAATAATTTTTTGAGACTGCAAGTGCCTAGGGTTGAACCTAGGTCGTCACCTGTAAATATTAAAGCTCATAGTCAGTCTTCATTAGTCAACTGAACCAAAGCCGTACTTGACTTATATGTTCGAACTTGCATTTTTGTTAATTTGGTGTGAAAGTTCATTTATAAATTTGCTAACTGTTTCATATTAGAACGAAATTAGAAACTAAAAAATAATTAAATCTTCAATATAAAATAATAAAAAATCGAGTACTAAAGTAAAAAAGATTCCAAATAGACAAATCCCCTGTATGTAACATATTTTGGGTTGAGCAAATATTATTTTAGATCATTTTGGATCATTTTGGATCATTTTGTAAGTTTTTGATATTTTAAGTCAAAATTGAAAAAATTTTCTAAAAAAAATTGCTCTTATATATATTCCTTATTGCTCTTATTATTTATTAATAATGTTATTGTTTAGTCCTTTTTAATTTTTTTTTATGTCCTTTTTTTGTGTGCCTCTTTTGTTGTTTTTCTTAATGGTGTACATATGAATTAAGTTGAGAACTAACTGCATATATGACTAAAGTGATAAGAATTATTTTTTTCTAATTAATTTAAAATCAATTTACAATATAAAATAATTATTGTGTTTTATTGGGCTAATTGATCAATTACTTTCAACTATTGCAATAAATTAAAATTGTTCACTTAAAATGAATATCAATAACAATACTAATTATAAATAATTCAATACTTTCCAAGCAAGATATGTTAATTCATATCGGGTTTATAAAGATGTGTGTGGTTTAACCAATATTATTTTTATTTTTATTTTGTTTTTGTAACTTAATGGAACAAAACAGTTGGATTAAAAAAAATAACGTTATAAACTACATTTCAGTCCTAATAATAAAATTATATTGTTACAAAGAAAAATATACATTTCATAACAACTGAAATAATGTTCCAGGTATAAAGTTACAAAGAAAATGCGGTATACCAGTGATCTAGTGTTCTAGTTTTTTGTACATGAGACTTAAGTAAAATATTAATATGAATATCAAAGGTAGCATCAAAAGCTAATGACTCTTAGAATATAAAATGTTATTTTAATACCAATAGTTTTTATATAAATAAAGTGTGTTTATAATTTTTCAATTATTAATTTTACAATAATAATGAACCAATATTACAGATATGTAAAGTCGAAAGGTTCCTTGGAAACATCTGACAGCTGGAAATATTATAAAAAGTGAATATGTGTGTCTATATTCAAAACTAGCCTACATAGTCGTATATACAGTTTACTTATATTTGGTATATGTTTTTATATATGTAAGTCCATTCATATAGAACTGTTTTTCATTCATCCCAAGATATTTTATATTCTTTTAATTTTAATGCTTTCGCATTAACCCTTACCTTTATACTAAAATGATTATCAACGGAAACTATATATTAGAAGTAGCTGTTATTAATATGAGGATTATTAGCTAATTATTGATTAAGTATGTAAATTTAAAATACTTATTTCACTATTTATTTATTGTTATTTACACAAACAAGTTATTTTATTACTTCATTGAAGAATTTTATTATTGCAATTATAATTATAACTCTAGTCAATTAAATGAGCTGACGATAACTTACCATCAATTAATACATAATATACGTAATTTTAAATTAAATACACAATAATATAAAAAGTGATGTCATTTCATACTTATATATGACAAGCCACTAAAATTTGTGTTTAATATATAAAAAATATATATAAATAAGTCTTTTTTCAAATAAAAAATACCGAAATTTGTGTCGTAACTAAAATATTCTATAATTATCGAAACTTTATTTGCTGTGCGTGAATAATATAAAAATACAAGGAAAGTAGAGGGGCAGGAGATCAAAAAAAACGCGAGAAAGAGGAAATCGAGGTGTGTAGACACATCAAGTTTGTCCATAAGTTTCATTAAAAAGACAACGCGATCACTCAATGCTGAAAGTATGGGAGGAATATTTCCCCAAACTACTATCTGGTAATGATAACATCAATTTCGCTTTTAGAGAAAAACTCTCGAAGTCCCCAATCAAAAACAACAAAGAGGCAGGCGTAGATGGCCTACCTGCTGAATGTTGGCGGCCGACAGCAATATACGAATGGAGGCCATGCATCAGTTTATTTACAGAATATGATTGTGCGATATTATGCTCAGCGATTGAAATCTTTGTACTCTGTTTTGAAAAAAGATGACCCGACAATTGGCCCCAACTATCGTGGGACCAATCTAATACCTGTCGCGTACAAGGTCCTTTCAACTGCACTGTGTGAAAGGTTAAAACCACATGCGAACTCACTGATTGCATCTTATTAATGCGGCTTTCGACTTGGTCGCTTCACTAATGACCAGATATTCACATTTGGCACCAGATATGTAACAAAGCCCACAAACATAACATCGACTCTAACCACCTTTTTGTCGATTATAAAGTAGTTTTCAATAGCCCTATTAGGAATCGCGTTTACACTGCAATGTATGAGCTCGGTATCCCTGGGAAAATAATACGACTATGAGGTTGAGCAATACCTGTAGCTCCGTTAAGATAAGATCGCGTCTCTCCGAACGTTTTGACACCGTACGAGGCTTCAGACAATGTGATTACTTATCATGTGAGCTTTTCAGTTTCGTCATGGAAGTAATAATGCGTAGGACAGGTGTTCATCGTAATGGAACTATATTCAACAAATGTGTCCAGCTCCTTGCTTATGGTTTCATCTACTTTGGTACCGCCATAACGAACAAAAATTATTTTAGCCTCAAGATCAGAGGAAAAATCACCATTGTTAATAGGTGCTACTATGGTTTCAGTAGGCAATTAGAATATGCGAGATATTCATTTTCGTCTTCGATTTTCATGAATTCCCAATATATTCCCCATATTTAGTTTTTCTATGAGTATAAAATATTTTGCATTATGGTTCATATAGGTGTACTGAAATAATTTTTAAAATATCATTTATAATAATATTAGTAAATTTTGCACCACTAAAATGAATGAAATGAGTACATATAATACGAGTATTAACTTACAATATTTACATATTCTACAGTTTAGCGTAAAGTTCTATATATGTACATATGTATATGTATAAACAAGTGTATTACATGTATAGAGAAATTGTTTACAACTATGAACGTTTAAGAGTCTATAATTTAAAGCTTTATTTATGGGAGATAACATTATAAAATTTGTTATTTAATTATTCTAAGAGATAAGTACAATGTATTTGTTACATTGTATTTAATGTTTAGACCTAAGAAAAATATTTTCATCAACTTCACCGAACCGTTAATACCCTTCATACAAAACAAATTATTAGCAAAAAATTATATTCTGATTCAAGCTGCATGTCTAATAGACAGCGTTATTAACTAATTTGTATCCGACCTGTAAAAGATTTTTATGGAAATCATTAGAACATTAAGTAAAACTCTTTTTCAATAAGAAAACAAGAAAATTAGATATGTTGGTAAGAGATTAGTGAATTGATTAAGTTAGCTAAGCTGGATTTTAAACTCCTATTATTATTAATATAAAAACAGATAGTTCATACGGAGGACAGATAGAATCCTTACTATGAGAAATTGTGGAAATTTTTCTCATTTTAATTGATTGGTGGTCGGAGGTGGATCAATATCACAACTAAGGAAATATCGAAAGTTAGCTGCAAGGTTTTTGATTAACAGTTTGAGAGAAAAGGCACTCAATTATAATATAATTAGAATATATACCTGAACATATACCATATACCTTTTAAACACTGGCTATACAAACCGATGAAGCTGGACTTTATATGCACGAACGCATACCATTCAGCCGATACATTAAATTTAAATGATTATAAACTAGAGTTTTAGAAGGAATTTAATGCCCCATGAATATTAAAAAATATATATTACTGATCAATCAACATTTGTTTATGCGAGAAAGGTGTTAAAATGAATATTTTAATTGAAGAAAATGATTCGCAAAAATTTATTAATGATTCCAAGTGATGTCTGAAACTGATGAAGTATAAAATACATGATTCTTTGAGTTGGTGTAATATGTTCATGTAATACCATATAGCGAAATCAAAATAGTAATCATCAATTTCTTTGAGAAAAATCGAAAAATCTTCTTCAAAATGACAAAAAAGAGGATAAGTTAGCCGGATAATACGGGATCCATATTTTGGTATGCGAATAAGATTATATTCTCTAAAACACTTCGGCAAGCAGTTTCATTGGAGTTGAGGTCCATCGGCAATGAAAATATTTGTGTGATCTTGGACCAGGACAATATCCTTTTTCACAATTTGTTAGTTACTATAGCCAAATTATATGAATTCTATTTTAAATTGGTGCCGCTTGTAGTATTTTCGTTGGATTTGAACACAGCGTTATCTATCTGCTCGTATATTTTAAGAGTATGCTTCCCAAAAAGTGGTACTATTTAAACAATGAAGCATCTTATTTAAGAATAAAAAAATATTTGAAAGATGTAAGGAAACTCTAAAATTAAAAATAAATTGTTCTTCGGGAAAATTATAATAGGTCTTGTGTACGCGAATTCATTATTTTCAAAATTCATTAAGAACTAATTTTATCAATATTTCTACCATATATACCCGTATATATACAATTTATTTAAACTTCAAAAAGGTCTTTAATTTATTAATATAAAATTATTTTTATTAAATATTCTTAAAAGACACAATAACCTTCTTTTTTATTTATTCTAATTTCCATATTCATAAGTCCTATATTTACGGAATTTTGATTGTGAATCCAAACTATATATTTCACCTAGAAAACTAATAGAGATTTTGGGTCAGACATTTATTAGTTTAATTGATTTCCACTTATACCTTAATGACCTTCAACTGTCGTAAAAAAATCAACTACAAATATATAGTTTATCACACTAGACAGATGCACTCAAGTCCGCATGAAAAAATTACTAATGTGTCTAGATTTTTCGTTTTATTGAACTGCGAATTTTTAAATTTACTTAGCAACATTGTAATATAAGCCAATATTTATATTTATGTAAAATACATTTTTATAAATGCATATTTAAAAATTTTTATTGACAAACGTGTTAATTGTTTATTTTACTATTAACATTATTAGAACGTCAGTCATTTACGTGCAAAGTTCATCTATACATCTACATCTAACTGTCTTCACGTGTTTATATGTAATTCTTATATTTATTACAATTTGTTTGCATTTCAGATTATTAAGTCAGTGTTTACACTATGCTTCATTGGCGTGTTGACTTTACTAGCCCCTGAAGTAAAAAGTGCTAATATATTAGCGGTCTATGCATTTCCTGGTAAAAGTCATTTCATGATGCATAGAACACTCATTAAAGAACTTATAAATCGTGGACATCAGGTAAGTTTCCAGTAGATTTTTAATGACATTTAATAATTATGTTAATTACTATAGGTTACTATGGTTACAGCATTTTCTCTGGAAGATCTAAAACTTGGCGATAATTATACCGAAATTCTTATAGAACCTGTATATGATTTTTGGGACGATAGTAAGTACTACTACTTATAAATAAATAGACAGATGGAATAAAATTAAATTACTTCACAGAATTCTAAAATATATGAATATTCTACGGGTACATGAGATTTAAAATATTTATCTATTATTTACAATTTCACTTAAATAAAATAGGTAGCTGCCATATTACATTACCCTTCACTCAAAGCCTTAACCCTTGCTTCACAATTGTGGTCTTTCGGAGTGTTTGGGAAGTGGAAAAAATTAATTGACTTTGCTAGAAAAGCAAATGCTGTTTTGACATTGGAAAACCATATATATGATATGATAATAGCCTTTCTTTCATCTATCTATTTTGAGAATTGAAATCTTTCACTTTTCAACTTTCTTGATTTCCCCAAAGCTTTCTGCGAAGGTCTGCTATTCTTTATTTTGTGAAGAAGTAATAAAACGTATTTCTTTAGCTGCTTCTAAATAAATTTAATCTTTTACTGAACTACAGACCTAATACAATATATCGAAATGATGCCCTACAAATTATATTTTTTTTGTTAAATATGTGTTCTAACTAGCTTTCAAAACCCATACATAATAAAATCCTGCTGAAATCTAGGCATAAAACTTATATTGTTTTACAATATATTACTTAATATTGCCTTACTTTACATAGAACTAATTTTTTCTTTTACTTACAGTTAAAAAACATTTTGGCGCTACAAACCTATTCGAATTGACTAGCATGACAGTTTTTGACTTTCTCAAAATGCTTGAAATATTGGGAGTTGCCACTACTGAGCACGCATTACGTCAACAGAAAGTGGTGGCTTTAATAAACGCAAAGAAAACTGAAGGTGTATACGATCTACTCCTGGCAGAACAATTTTATCAAGAAGCATTCCTAGCATTGGCCAAAGTCTATAACATACCGGTTGTAACTACTAGCACACTTGGTTTTGAGAATCACATGAGTCAAATAATGGGAGTTTTGACACCCTGGTCACATGTACCACATGGTTTTTTGCCATTTTTAGATCGAATGACATTCACGGAACGTCTGAAGAACAGTTTCTATTCATTATACGAGGATTTGGATCGGGAATATAATTACTTTCCAAAAATGGATGAACTCGTTCAGACATATTTTTCAAAAGCATTAGCTAACTTAGGTAAATATAAAAGTCGTAAATACTATATACTTAAAATAAGGTTCTTATATGTGCAAATAGTCTATATTACAATCAAATGATAAATGATACCAAATCATTATCACACTTTCATTTCACATCTGCTTTAAAAGTAATTGAAGAAGAAGAATTCATTGAAATAATTAATTTTTATTTTTCCGCCTGTGTTACAGATGAAATACCTAAAGTTACTCAAATGGAAAAGAATATTTCGGCTTTGTTACTGAACAGTTACGTGCCGTTGACTACACCACGTCCTACTGTTGCCGCGATGATATCAGTGGGTGGTCTACACATTTACCCGTCCAAACCTTTGCCAGAGGATTTGCAAACGTTTCTAGATGAAGCAGAGTATGGCGCTATATACTTTGCTTTAGGTAAGCAAATTCTCACTACCAACTTTACTGTAATTCTAGTATCTGTATCTCATGTTGTTCTTGTTGTTGTTGTTGTTATTGTATTTTGTGGGTAATTTAAAATGATAACACAACATGACGCAGCATTTTATTATCTCACACGTTCATCGGTGAATGGTAAAGTATATTTCTGAATTACTTAACCGAGACTCAGAGCAGTTGTTTGTGTTTTTTGAAGGGCCGCACTTGATGATTGCATTTGTGAGAAGCTTCAATCTGGCAATTTATTTCAATCAATTAAATTGCTTGATTAATATAAATTATTTACATTGTATAATCTCAGATTTAAATGAATTGAAAGCCATCAACTGTTCGACATTTCCGCATGAGTTTAAAATTTTTTTTTATATTTTCAGAGTATTGTAAATTGATTAAATTTTCCATTTAATTTCAATGATTATATATGCAGCGATAATGTGTCACTTACAAAAATATTTCAATATAATGTATATTGATTACACACAACATATAAATACGTAGAGAATTGTAATTTCATTTTTGATAAGGATTTATAGAATTTAAGTTATTACCACAGATCATAATTATATTGGTATTACTGATATTGCTATGATATGCTCATATATTTTTTTCTAATAAAAAAACTGCAAAACTGCATATTCAGTTCAAAAACGATTCTCAAAAGTATCGGAACCCTACCTGATAACAGAGTATAAGACAGAATAGGAATATACCGGGTACTAGCTCCCGACGGAGCAGAGCCATGCGACCAGATTGATCTTTTGTGCTGCAACAGACCCTAACAGAACAGAAGACATTCCACCTTCCGAATGAAGGCCAGAGTATTGTCCGCTGAGGAACTCCTAATGTCAGAAGGGGAAAGCAGCTCTCCTCCTAGTGATCTCCTCCTGACCCAAATCAAGGCTGGGCAGTCACAAAGAATGTGACTAGAAGTCTCGTCAACTTCTAAGCAGAGTCGACACTCCATTTC